CAGCAGGTGGGAAGGTTCTGAGTTCTCCTCCTCAGCCGCACTGCCCCTGGGTTTCAGCTGTGGCTTGGTCTCCACCTCTGCCTGTGAGTCGTCCACGGGGCTTTGCTGCTGAGGCTGCCCTGGAGGGTGTGGGCCCGCCCCAGGGAGGACGGGGTGCGGGGGGTGCAGCTGCTGAGGTGGCAGGGCCTGGGGCACCAGGTGCTCAGGGGAACTGGCGGCTAGAGCCGCAGGAAAGGGCTTTTTCTAGCCTCTGGCAGCTCTGCCCCAGTAGGGATCCAGCGTGGGGCTGGCTCAGCGGCTTGGATCATGGGAACTCTGGGGGCGCCGAGTGTGCAGGGACCCCAGCTGTCTCCGCTGAGGGGGCTCTGGCCCTCCCAGCATCTCGCCCACACCTCTGGCAGCTGCAGTCAGGGCGCCTCTGTGGCCAGTCCTTCTCTACGCACCTGGCTCCCTCCCCAGTGAAGGCAGGGAAGGGCCAACCTCTCTCTGGGGTCTTCCACTGTCCAGGGCTGACGTGTGGGGACAGAGAGGCTACAGCGATAACTCCACCACCTGTGAGTGACTCAGCAGGATCGCCCTGCCTCCATCAGTTCAGTTCAGTTCAGTCACTCAGTCATATCTGACTCTTTGTGACCCAATGAATCGCAGCACACCAGGTCTCCCTGTCCATCACCAACTCCTGGAGTCCACCCAAACCCATGTCCATTGAGTCGGTGATGCCATCCAGCCATCTCATCCTCTGTCATCCCCTTCTCCTCCCACCTTCAATCTTTCCCAGCATCAGGGTCTTTTCCAATGAGTCAGTTCTTCAAATCAGGGGGCCAAAGTATTGGAGTTTCAGCTTCAACATCAGTCCTTCCAATGAATATCCAGAACTGATTTCCTTTTGGATGGACTGGTTGGATCTCGTTGCAGTCCAAGGAACTCTCAAGAGCTTTTTCCAACACTACAGTTCAATAGCAGCAATGCTTTGGCACTCAGCTTTCTTTATAGTCCAACTCTCACATCCATACATGACTGCTGGAAAAACCATAACCTTGACTAGACGGACCTTTGTTGGCAACGTAATGTCTCTGCTTTTTAATATGTTGTCGAGGTTGGTCGTAACAGGTATTTCCCACTGCCATCTCCTCCCCCACATCACCTCAGGCCCTCTCCCCATAGTCAACAGCAGACCTCATCCTGGGATCGCTCCACAATCCCTCCACTCCAGCTCCCAGCCCTGCACCTTCTAGGGGACTTGCGTCCCTGTCTGTGGTAGTATGGCTGCGGCTAGAATTGTCTGCATGATTCTCATTCCATTCAGACTCTCACAGATCAGCTTCCCTCATAGCTCAGTCAGCAAAGAATCTGCCTGCAATACAGGAGCACTGGGTTTGATTCCTGGGTCGTCAGGAAGATTCCCCTGGAGAAGGAAATGGCAGCCCCCTCTAGTATTCTTGCCTGGAGAATCCCATGCAGAGAGGAGACTGACGGGCTACAGCGAGAGTCATGCCTAAGTGACTGTACCCCCACCCCCACCATCTCAGATCAGCTGCTTCACCCTCAGCCTCAAGTGCTTCTCCTCTGTCCCCTGAACAGTTTCCTCACCCTCCAAGGGCGCCCACGTGGGGACCAGACCCCTGCTTCAGTCCCCCCACCTGCCAAGGGCAGGTCCAGTCCTACTCACTCTCTTTCCCCCCTACTTCCTTCACCCGACCGAGTTTTGCGTGGTTCTATATATTCTTCTCCGGTAGCCAGGTGCTCCTGCCTGCTCTCAGCTGCCGTTCTGCAAGATCTCCTGTGTCTGAAGGTGTCTTCCTGATGTATCTCTGGAGAAAGAGGAACTCCACATCCACCTGCTCCTCCGCCATCTCGTTCCCCCTCATCTGATCAAACTAAGACCCCTTCTCCCAAGAGGGACAATTCCTGCTGGGACAGCATTCTATCAGCCAGTCTGCCATTCTTATCTGGGCCAATTTGAGCACAATCTGGTCTAAGTTTTAGCTATAAAACTTTCACTAGAGAAAAGAAAGATGACATTTTATTATGACATGGTGTGGCCACAAAATTCTCTGGACTCCAGAGAAAACTAGCTAAGATAAAAATTTTTGAAATTGGGGGGGGGGACCCCAAACAACAAAAACAACCTCCCCAAACAAAAACAAACAAAAACTGGTTCTTTTTGCATGTGCAATTAGAGAAAGCTAGCTTTTAAAATACTTTTATTTATTTATTTCAGAATTCTGACACTGAGAGAACAAGTCCTGCTAGAAGAACATGACTTTCCCTGTGCCTTGAGATCAGCACCCTCAGGTACATTTCTCTTATCTAGTCTAATAATCTCCAGTTCCTGAGACTGAGGGGGAAATGGAAAGGAAGTCTTTTAAACTTATCCTTATTAAAACTGTTGTTTATAAACCAGTGAGTTTTATAATACCTGATTCATGACTAAGTTTAGAAAATGAACCTGTAAGATCCCTATCTGGATGTGTGTATGTCTCAGTATTTGTCTTTGTTATGTATTTTTGAGATTAATTTGTAAAGGGGCTCTATTAAGTTGGCTTAAAGAAAAGTAAGCACTTACAAATCAAACAACTCTAAAAATAAGAGATATCAAACTTAATGAATTTCAGGCTCACGTGATCTGGGGAATATTCAGTGTTAAATATCAGATATGAAAATTAAAGTCTCAATATGGACTTTAGAGTCCTATTAATCCCTCTTAGTATGTCTTTAGAGGCATTTATATTAAATATAATACTTTTATTGTACCTGGATGGACTGAATGTCATTAAATTAATGCCATGTATGTTACAACATTTGTCAGCAAAATCTAACTTGGTATGGATAAAAGCTTTTGAGTGAACACTTTGGATATAATTATGTCTTAGGTTTTCCAGATTTTTGGTAACTTGGAACTACAGTTTTACTAAATCAAGTCAAATAATAACTTATTAAATGTCTAAATTATTTTTAAGATAAAATACTGGAACATGGACCACTGAACAAATCTACATTTACCTACTTTTGTCTTCTTGGGAGAGCAAAACTAAAAATCTTGGGTTTATTGGACATGCTTTGTATGATGTTGGGAAAAGAAATTGCAATTTGGGAAAATGCAACCTATGGAATATACTCTTAAATTTCCCAATCAAAAATTGCTAGTGTGACCAGCGGTTCACAATTGCTTTCTTCTCTGTTTTCAATATAGGTTAAGGTTTTAAGAGCTGAGGATTCTACTTGAAAGGTCCTTAAAGGTACTAGAAGCAATAAAGGAAATATTTTGGAATACAGTAGGAAAGTTGTGGTAAGGGAGATACTGCACATGTGCAGAAAGGCTCCTTGGGGGTCAAAAAGAGGGGGGCACCATCCCATAATAGGCGATCCCAAGGACCCCAGAGGCTGCTGGGCTGGTATCTGTCTTGGAAAAAAAGTTACACACACATGTTGGTGAGGGTCCTAGAACAGGTCAGGACCTAACTGGGTAACAGTAAACAAAACTGGAAGAAATGCCCTGTATTAATGATTCAGCTGTCTCTTTTCAAAAACTTGTTTTATTTACCTATTTATTTTGGCTCTGATGGGTCTTCGCTGCTCTGCAGACTGTCCTCTAGTTGCAGAGAGCAGCGGCGAGTCTCCAGTTGCCGCGCTCTGACTTCTCATTTCGGTGACTTCTCTTGCTGTGGACCACGGGCTCCCTGGCCTCCCTAGGTGCTGCGGCTCCTGGGTGTGAGAGCACAGGTTCGACTGTCATGACACATGAGCTTAGCTGCCACATGGCATGTGGGATCTTCCAGGACCAGGGATGGAACCTGTGTCTCTGCTCTCGGCAGGTGTATATTTATCACTGAACCACGAGGGAAGCTTTGATTTAACTGCCTCTTTACGGGGCCCCACCACTTTAGGGAGAATGTCCACACCCTTTCTCTCCCGTGTGTAACTCTGCCTTACTTCTGTCTTAACGAAACAGCTTCTGTCTGTGCTTTCTGGTTTCTTGTGCTGTGTCTCCGATAATACACTTTTTTTTTTTTTTAACCATTTTGCCTCCTTGAGAAATGCAGTTTTCAAAGCAGGCAAGAGCCAGGGAAACCTTGTTTCTAGCCCCTAGCCCCTGGTGGATGGGCGGCTAGGATTCCTGGTTTTCACCCAGGCCCCCCAGGTCCAGTTCCTGAGCAGAGAACTAAGACTTTGCTTCCAACCCCCACTCATGGCTCTCTCTCTCTGCCTCTCTCTCTCTCTGCCTCTCTCTCTGAGATCAGCCCCATTCGGTTTCAGAAGATGGGAACTGCAAATGATTGGCAAACAATTCTTTGCCATTCCATGCTGACAAGTCTTTCAAAGGCAAGAAACTATGTCATAACAGCTCTTTTTTTCTGACATAGGTCCCGTAATCTAAACTATTATGAGCCATGAAGGGAGAGGCAAAAGACTTTTCTTCAGGAGGTAGCATCTTAATTGCCTTCAGTTCAAAACAATCTACAAGACAAAGTGGCACATTTTAGAGTGGAAATTCTGCACCCCCACCCACTTCTCTTTAAGCAATGCTTCCAGTATATAATAATAATATATTATTTGAAATATATTTAAAGATGCTGAAGCTCCAACACTTTGGGTACCTAATGTGAAGAGCTAACTCATTTGAAAAGACCCTGATGCTGGAAAGATTGAGGGCAGGAGGAGAAGAGGATGACAGAGAGTTGGATGGCATCAGCAACTCGATGGATATGAGTATGAGCAAACTCTGGGAGATAGTGATGAACAGGAAAGCCTGGCATCCATGTAGTCCATGGACTTGCAAAGAGTTGGGCAAAAGTTAGTGACTGAACTGAACTGAATGGATGTTTAAGAAACCAAATCTCAGAGACAGGGAACTTGTCAATGTGTCTTTTTTTCACCTGCTCCCCATCACTCCCCTGCTCCCTAGAACTGGACTCCCAGGGCCAAGGGCACATGGACTTTCTTGACGGTTTGCCGTGTCATTTTCTCAGCAGATCTGACCCTCCTCAACTTTATCTAAGATGCTGTGTCAGGATGTTCACCAATTTGGTCAAAAGCTGGTCCGCAGGCGGCTACTGGAGCCCAGGGAGGGGTTTGAGAGGCCCAAGGCTGGTCATCTGAACACTCTGGACCTGGTGGCCTTGGGTGTGGGCAGCACCCTGGGAGCTGGTGTGTACATCTTGGTTGGAGAAGTGGCTGTGTATGAGGCTGGACCAGCAACTGTCATCTGCTTCTTTGCGGCCGGAGTGTCTACTCTTTTGTCCGGGCTCTGCTATGCGGAGCTGGTGGCCTGGGTACCACGCCCCGGTTCTGCGTATCTCTACAGCTACGTCACTGTGGGAGAACTGTGCGCCTTCATCATTGGCTGGAACCTCATCCTGTCCTTTGTCATGGGTGAGATGATGGGGTGGGTGAAGGTGGGGCTTAAGGTCAGAAAATTCAGAGGGGAATTGGAGTGTTGCTGATTCATGAGGTCTTTATTATCCACCTTGTGGAGTGAAGTGGGTAATGGTAGAGGAACTTCATAGCTAGAAACTTTATTCTACTTGGGTCTACGCTGCTTTCCTGAAATGATGGGAGCTAGAACCGAGGAGGAAAGGGACCTATAGGGAGTGGGTGAGAGGAAGGCATGTCCCACAGGCTCCTCCCCTCAACGTAGTGACGTCTTTGCTCAGCTGTTTTCCTTTCATCTCTTCCTAACATATTAAATTGGAGAAGGAAATGGCAACCCACTCCAGTATTCTCACTTGGGGAATCCCATGAACAGAGGAGCCTGCCAGGCTACAGTCCATGGGGTCACAAAGAATCGGACACGACTGAGTAACTAACAACAACAACAACATGTTAAATAGTTGACCTGTTCTGTGAATCATCTGGGTCTACTCTCTCCACTCCATAAAAGGAAACATTCTGAGATTAGGGATTTTCTCTGTGTGTTTTCCCCCCGTGTACATCGCATGGTACAAGGTCGGGGTGCAATTTGTGTTTGTCAATGGGTCTTCATCTTTTGCTGCTGTAGCGACTGCCTGTGAGGCCAGAGCCTGGAGCTACACCTTTGACAGCCTGATTGGGAACCACATCTCTCAGGCATTACAGGAGATGTTCTCTCTGAACGTGCCCTACTTCCTGGCCACCTATGTAGACTTTTTTGCCTTCGTCCTGGTGCTGCTGCTCACAGGTGAGACAGAGGTCAGCTAAAATGGGGTGTGGAAGGGGAGCTGGGGTACAAAAGGCTTGGGGTTCCAGATGGTGGAAGGCTTAGGGCTGGAATGAAGTGTCTGAGATAAGAGAGACAGGAAGGCAGGGCACAGACCAATGTTTTGGACCCTTGGCAGTACTGACATTCTGGGTTGAATTATTCTTTAGTGTAGGGGGCTCTCCTGTTCATTGTAGGTTTTGCTTTCAGTCGTTGTCAGATCCTGAGTGGCAGCCCTGGTCTTTGTTGTTTAGTCGGTAAGTCGTTATCTGACTCTTTGCCACCCCATGCAGTGTAGCCTGCCAGGTCCCTCTGTCCACAGGATTTTCCAGGCAAGAATACTGGAGTGGGTTGCCATTTCCTTCTCCACGGGATCTTCCCGACCCCAGGATCAAACCTGCATCTCCTGCATTGGCAGGTGGATTCTTTACCACTGAGCCACCAGGGAAGCCACCGCTTGTCTTTACTCACTAGAAAAATTGATGCCCTCCACCCAAAGTATGACAATCAGAATGCCTCAAGATATTGCCAGAAGTTTCTTCAGAGACAAAGTCACCCCCATCTGACAATCATTACTTAGGCTTACAAGTTTCTTCCTTGTACTGAGACTGAAGATATTTGTTTAATTCAGAGGAAATTCACACAAAATAAAATTAACCATTTTACTGTACTCCCCCAGTTTACTGAGATATAATTGATATACAAGAGTATGTAATTTTAAGATGAGGAAAGTGATGATTTGATAGACCTGTCTACTATGAGATGACTGCCACAGTAAGAAATTAGCCATTTGCAAGTGTACAATTCTGTGGGACTTTTATTACATTCACAGTGCTGTGTAAGCATCACCTCCATCTAGTTCCAAACATTTTCATCACAACAAAAGTAAATCCCTAAAGATCTAAACATAAGACCAGCAACTATAAAACTCTTAGAGGAAAACATAGGCAAAACACTCTCCGACATAAATCACAGCAGGATCCTCTATGACCCACCTCCCAGAGTAATGGAAATAAAAGCAAAAATAAACAAACGGGACCTGATTAAACTTAAAAGCTTTTGCACAATGAAGGAAATGATAAACAAAGTGAAAAGATAGCCTTCAGAATGGGAGTAAATAATAGCAAACAAAGCAACTGACAAAAAATTAATCTTAAAAATATATAAACAACTCCTGCAGCTCAATTTCAGAAAAATAAGTGACCCAATCCAAACATGGGCCAAAGAACTAAACAGAAAGTTCTCCAAAGAAGACATACAGATGGCTAACAAATACATGAAAAGATGCTCAACATCACTCATTATCAGAGAAATGCAAATCAAAACCACAATGAAGTACCATCTCACACCGGTCAGAATGGGTGCTATCAAAAAGTCTACAAACAGTAAATGCTGGAGAGGGTTCAGAGAAAAGGGAACCCTCTTACACTGTTGGTGGGAATGCAAGCTAGTACAGCCACTATGGAGAACAGTGTGGAGATTCCTTAAAAAACTGGAAATAGAACTGCCATATGACCCAGCAATCCCACTCCTGGGCATGCACACCGAGGAAACCAGAATTGAAAGAGACACGTATACCCCATGCTCATCACAGCACTGTTTACAATAGCCAGGACGTGGAAGCAGCCTAGATGTCCATTGGCAGACAAATGGATAAGAAAGCTGTGGTATATATACACAGTGGAATATTACTCAGCCACTAAAAAGAATGCATTTGAATCAGTTTTAATGAGGTGGATGAAACTGGAGCCTATTATACAGAGTGAAGTAAGCCAGAAAGAAAAATACCAATACAGTATCAGTTCAGTTCAGTTCAGTTCAGTCGCTCAGTCATGTCTGACCCTTTGCAACCCAATGAATTGCAGCATGCCAGGCCTCCCTGTCCATCACCAACTCCTGGAGTTTACTCAAACTCATATCCATTGAGTCGGTGATGCCATCCAGCCATCTCATCCTCTGTCGTTCCCTTCTCCTCCTGCCCCCAATCCCTCCCAGAATCAGGGTCTTTTCCAATGAGTCAACTCTTCACATGAGTTGGCCAAAGTATTGGAGTTTCAGCTTCAGCAACAGTCCTTCTGATGAAAACCCAGGACTGATCTCCTTTAGGATAGACTGGTTGGATCTCCTCACAGTGCAAGGGACTCTCAAGAGTCTTCCCCAACACCACAGTTCAAAAGCATCAATTCTTCAGCACTCAGCTTTCGTCACAGTCCAACTCTCACATCTATATATGACCACTGGAAAAACCATAGCCTTGACTAGATGAACCTTTGTTGGCAAAGTAATGTCTGCTTTTTAGTATGCTATCTAAGTTGGTCATAACTTTCCTTCCACTGAGTAAGTGTCTTAATTTCATGGCTGCAATCACCATCTGCAGTGATTTTGGAGCCCAAAAGAATAAAGTCTAACACTGTGTCCACTGTCTCCCCATCTATTTCCCATGAAGTGATGGGACCAGATGCCATGATCTTAGTTTTCTGAATGTTGAGCTTTAAGCGCATTTATATGGAATTCAGAAAGATGGTAACAATGACCCTCTATGCAAGACAGCAAAAGAGACACAGATGTATAGAACAGTCTTTCAGACTCTGTGGGAGAAGGCAAGGGTGGGATGATTTGAGGGAATAGCATTGAAACAGGTATATTACCATGTGTGAAACAGATCGCCAGTCCAGGTTCAATGCATGAGACAGGGTGCTCAGGGCTGGTACACTGGGATGACCCTGAGGGATGGGATGGGGAGGGATGTTCAGGATGGGGAACACATGTACACCCATGGCTGGTTCATGTCAATGTATGGCAAAAACCACTACAATATTGTAAAGTAATTAGCCTCCAACTAAAATAAATAAAGAAACAAACAAAAGGAAACCCTGTACCTGCTGAGGAGTCACAGCCCACCTGCTACTAATGCCCAAACCCCAGCCCCTGTAACCACTAGTTTCCTTTCTGTGTCTATGGATTTGGTTATTTTGGATGTCTCATATTCTATCTTTCCTGCAGGACTACTGGTTCTGGGAGTTCATGAGTCAGCCCTAGTTAGCAAAGTGTTCACAAGCTTGAACCTTTTGGTCCTCAGCTTCATCATCCTCTCTGGCTTCATTAAGGGAGACCTGCACAACTGGAAGCTCACGAATCAGGACTACTCATTGAACACATTGAACACATCTGGATACAGTGACATCTCTAGGTTAGGAGGGTCCTCTTGGCCAACTCTTGCATGTGGATGGTGCAGAGCTGGGAATATGGTGGAGACTAAAGAGACCTGGACTGATGGATCCAGGGGATGGGAGTCCTGGAGCCCAGCACTTGTGGTATTGAAGGAGGAGCCCAGAAGAGGTGACTGAACTCAACTCACCCACCTTCTTTCTTGCTCCTTCTCTCACCATAGCTTGGGCCCTCTGGGTTCTGGAGGGTTTGTGCCCTTTGGCTTTGAAGGGATTCTTCATGGAGCGGCGACATGTTTCTACGCCTTTGTTGGCTTTGATGTCATTGCCACTACAGGTAACGTGGTCATTGTGTGTCCTATCGAGGGTCTGGGCAGGTAGGGCTGTCCTTGGGTGTAGAAGTTGGAAGAAGGTTAGACTGCCTTTGGATGTGCAAGAAGGAAGGGATTTTGTGCTTTCATTCCAGTGTCTTTCTGAAATCAATACTGCACCCATCTTGCAGGGGGTGAAGTCCCAAATCCTCATCGTTCCATCCCCTTGGGCATCGTGATTTCACTCTCCATCTGCTTTTTGGCATGTTTTGGTGTCTCAGCGGCACTCACCCTCATGGTGCCCTACTACCAGATTCAGCTTGAAAGCCCCTTGCCACAGGCTTTTCTCCACGTTGGGTGGGGCCCTGCCAGATATGCTGTGGCTGTTGGTGCCCTCTGTGCTCTTACATCCAGGTCAGTGTCTTTTTTTTCTCCCCGTCTACTGTCAGATGCTCGGGTATCCCATCCCTTGGGATTGAGAGACAAGAGGGAAAGGTATCTTGCCCCTTGTAGACTAAGGAGCAGAAGCTGTTCTCTTCCCTGTTTCTCCACGTCCTCACGTGTGTTTCCATTTTCTTTTCCAGTCTCCTGGGTACCATGTTCCCCATGCCTCGGTTGATCTATGCAATGGCAGAGGATGGGCTCCTTTTCCAGGGACTTGCTCAGATCTATACCTGCACAAGCACCCCCATCCTGGCCATTATATTGGCTGGAAGTCTTACAGGTTAAGGGGAAAAAAAAATCTACTCTGTCCTTGATCAATTTTCTAGACTTGTATATTTCCTCTGGTTTCTCACTCTTTCCATCCATCTTGTTTGTTCGCTCATTCCAGGGGTCATGACTTTACTCTTTGAGCTCAGTGATCTTGTAGACCTCGTGTCAACTGCGATGTTGCTTGCTTACTCCCTGGTAGCATTTTCTGTCCTTGTCCTCAGGTGAGACTCCAGTATAGTTTGACTGGGGTGAGGGGAGAGAGGTCTTTGATTTGTCCAAGATTGTCGGGGAGATAATCCTTTTCTGCCTTCCATGCTGCCTTCCAAATGTCCTGTTATTATTAAGTTGGGAAAGATTAGACTGTCTGATGTTGAATGAGTAGGGGCTGCTATGAATATTGACTTAATATTTCTACTTCAGGTATCAGCCAGACCAAAACTTAAGCAACAATGAGGCAACAGAGGATGAAATTGATATTTCTCTGCTAGAAGCTAGTCGTGTTGAACCTGGGCCTGAAGCAAGATCCTCAAACATTCTAAAGAGTCTCTGGTGCCCCAGTAACACCATCCCCACTGTGAAATCTGGGCAGATTGTCTATTGGTGTGCCTTCTTGCTTGGTTAGTGGTGGGATTTCTCATTGGTTGTATTCTGAAATTAACAGAACGGGGAGGGCAGGTTGTGTGGGGAAGTTGAGGAAGAATCTTCCAGATAAGATGGCCCTTCATGAGGTGGGCAGTTTCAGAGATGGGTGTGACCCAAGGTCCTGATGTCTTTGTCTTCTGGTCCAGCCTGTTCTCCTCCACCTTGACCTTTGCAGTTCTCCTGCTGACCATCCTGAGCCTGATCCTGGCCCAGTAGCCCATCCAGGTGCTCTCTGGAGACCCCGTGCTCACAGCAGTGGCTGTGCTGCTGCTGCTGCTCATCACTGGGGCCACGGTCATCATCTGGAGGCAGCCCCAGAGCCCCACTTCTGTTTACTTCAGGGTAAGTGACCTTATGGGCTCAGAGTGTCCACCTTGAGTGAATGAAGTCAGCCTCCTTTGAGGTCTAAACATGATTGTCGGCCCAAGGAATAAGGGGAGTTGCTAAAAACCATGGATCCTTCTTGACCCACACTCGGTGCTTCACATACACAATCTCAGGAGGCACTGAACTCACAGTCTGAATAGGATTGTGGTCACCCTATCCATACAGGGCAGCGTCTCCCTCTCAGACATCTGGGCTGTGTTCAGGGATGAACTGACTCTGCCCACAGGTTCCTGCTCTGCCTGTCCTCCCATTGGTGAGCATCTTTGTGAATGTTTACCTGATGGTGCAGATGGACACTGGGACCTGGGTCCTATTTGGCATTTGGATGGGGATTGGTAAGTGGCTTCCTTGGAAAATAAGACCTATTGAGAGACTGAATCAAATCATCTCCCTACTACTTCTCCCCTCTTGTCAGACATCATAAAAGGAGGCCTATTGGGCATTTATAAGTGAGAAGAGTGCCAACTTTTCTTTCTCACTGTCTCATTTGCCTACTAGGATTTGCCATATACTTTGGATATGGGATCAGACACAGCCTGGAGAACAGTGAGCCACAGCCACCAGCCTCCACCTTGCAGACTTGACAAAAACATTCCTAGTGATGAATGAATGATGAATCTGTTTCCACAGGAACAGATGTTGTGTGGAATCCTTCTATGCACTGGAGGTATCTTGTGGTTCAAGGGGCATTTTGAGCCTCTATGGAGCTTGAGGTTGAAATGCATTTAGAGCCCTGTCTTCATTGGTAGTGGACAAGACGGCTTCAGAGTTGTATAGTTTTAAGTTTTCAAAGCTTAGTATGCATGCAGAAAAGTGCATGCTTCATAAGTTAATAGCAAGATCAGTTTTCACAAAGAAAGTACAACAATGGAAATATCAACCTGAGGAAGTAATAAAATATTAATGGGCACATGAGAAATAGTTTCTTGTGCCTCATTTCCAGTGCGAACACAGATTGTAATCTGGGAAGGAAATGCAGGTAACTATATATTGTGTCAAATGTTACACCTCAAATATTAGGACAGAAATAGGTTGAAAGTAAGAAGAAGGGAATATATACACTATGCCAATAGTAACACAAGAAAGCTAAGATAGCTATATTAATATAGGAACAAGTAGAATTTAAGAAAAAGATAATAACAGATAAAGTAGATCATTCAGTAAGATACAGGGTAAAGTTTCTCATTTTTATTTTTTTCCCCCAGCTTTATTGAGATATAGTGTAACATTGTGTAAATGATCATTTTTCTTTACTCTTGTTGCAGAACCTTAGAATTACACAGTAAAGTTGATGAGGAAAAGTTCTTAATTGACCAAAAAAAAAAAAAAAAAAAGACCAACCCACAGCAGCAACATTTGCATTGCTAGAGGAAGGGAAATGGAATGAGAGGTAATGGTTGGTTGATATATGCTTACAGTTGGGTGGAACTAAGATATAGAAAGTGAACCTAGAAACTCAAGATAAAAAGTGATCACTGCAGACAGAATGCTTGAAATTGAGATTGCACACTTTGACAATGTTGGTAATAATGAAGCATAGGATTTTTTGTGGGAATGAAAAACTGGAGAAGAGTGAAGGGAAGATAAAGGTCAAGAAACTGAACAGCAAAATTGTTAGCTGAATTAAAATATAAATGGAGGAGGATTAACAGAAACAGAAATATCACTGTCTTGCAAGTTCTAGTTAAATTACAGTCTTAGGACACAATTAAACTGGAGACTGACTTTGCTAGGTGAAACTTTGTTGGAAGAGGTTGACATCACCTGATTATCATTCTACCCTTCCTGATGTGAGACAACCAGACACCAATAAAGAACACTTTCTGGAACATAGCCCTGACAAAAAGGTGAATCAGAATATAATCACAGATGTATAGAACAGACTTTAGGACTCTGTGGGAGAAGGCGGGGGTGGGATGATCTGAGAGAATAGCACTGAAACATGTATATTATCAATTGTGAAACAGATCGCCAGTCCAGGTTTGATGCACAAGACAAGTGCTCAGGGCTGGTGCGCTAGGATGACCCAGAGGGATGGGGTAGGGAGGGAGGTGGAAGGGGTGTTCAGGATGGGGAACACATGTAAATCCACGGCTGATTCATATCAATGTATGGCAAAAACCACTACAATATTGTAAAGTAATTAGCCTCCAACTAATACAAATAAATGAAAAAATAATTAATTAATTAATTAATTAAAAAGAATATAATCAAACTTTTGGATTAACTACAACCTCATAGCAGACATAAGGGACAGATTCACATTTCAACTGAAAACACAGTCAGCCAAAACTGGAATGTGGGCAGTTCTCCAGGAAATAAAATGGTGCACTCTCTGTAACATTAGTAGAGGGGATTCATTGGTGGTCTAGTGATGAGGACTCTATGCTCCCACTGCCGGATATTCAGGTTCCATCCCTGGTCAGGGAACTAAGATCCAGTGAGCTTCAAAGTACAGCCAATAAAATAAAATAAATGGTATGACCCACCCAAACAGGAGATTTGTTAATTAATTTAAAAAGATCACTCATACAGGCATATCTTGGAAATATTGCTGGTTGGGTCCAGACCACCTGAATAAAAAGAATTGGCAATAAAAGGAGACATAATTTTTTAAGTTTCCCTGTGCATGTGTAAGTTATGTTATACTACACTCTAAGTGAGAAATCGGTTCAGTTCAGTCACTAGGTCGTGTTCAACTCTTTGTCATCCCATGGACTGCAGCACACCAGGCCTCCCTGTCCATCACCAACTCCCAGAGTTTACTCAAACTCATGTCAATTGAGAGAGTGATGGCATCCAACTATCTCATCCTCTGTTGTCCCCTTCTCCTCCCACCCTCAATCTTTTCCAGTATCAGGGTCTTTCCAAATGAATCAGCTCTTCACATCAGGTGGCCAAAGGACTGGAGTTTCAGCTTCAATATCAGTCCTTCCAATGAACACCCAGGACGGGTCTCCTTTAGCATGGATTGGTTGGATCTCCTTGCAGGTCAAGGGACTCTCGAGAGTCTTCTCCAACACCGCAGTTCAAAAGCATCGATTCTTTGGTGCTCAGCTTTCCTTATAGTCCAAATCTCACATCCATACATGACTACTGGAAAAACCATAGCCTTGACTAGATGGACCTTTGTTGGCAAAGTAATGCCTCTGCTTTTTAATATGCTGTCTAGGTTGGTCATAACTTTCCTTCCAAGGAGTAAGCGTCTTTTCATTTTATGGCTGCAATCACCATCTGCAGTGATTTTGGAGCCCAAAACAACAAAGTCAGCCACTGTTTCCACTGTTTCCCCATCTATTTGCCATGAAGTGATGGGACCAGCTGCCATAATCTTAGTTTTGGAATGTTGAGCTTTAAGCCAACTTTTCCCTCTCCTCTTTCACTTTCATCAAGAGGCTTTTTAGTTCCTCTTCACTCTCTGTCATAAGTGTGGTGCCATCTGCATATTTTAGTTTATTGATATTTCTCCCAGCAATCTTGATTCCAGCTTGTGCTTCTTCCAGTCCAGCGTTTCTCATGATGTACTCTGCATATAAGTTAAATAAGCAGGGTGATAATATACAGCCTTGATGTACTCCTTTTCCTTTTCCTATTTGGAACCAGTCTCTTGTTCCATGTCCAGTTCTAACGGTTGCTTCTTGACCTGCATACAGATTTCTCAAGAGGCAGGTCAGGTGGTCTGGTATGACCATCTCTTTCAGAATTTCCCACAGTTTATTGTGCTCCATACAGTTAAAGGCTTTGGCATAGTCAGTAAAGCAGAAATAGATGTTTTTCTGGAACTCTCTTGCTTTTTCAATGATCCAGCAGATGTTGGCAATTTGATCTCTGGTTCCTCTGCCTTTTCTAAAACCAGCTTGAACATCTGGAAGTTCACAGTTCATGTATTGCTGAAGCCTGGCTTGCAGAATTTTGAGCATTACTTTGTTAGCATGTGAGATGAGTGCAATTGTGCAGTAGTTTGATCATTCTTTGGCATTG